ACCTGTCTCCTCACAAGGAACACAAGTATTGAGTAGCATCATATCTTAGACTGTAAAAGTTGAGAAAAAGAAGTGAAAAATCGAAAATATCCTAAGGAAAAGATCAAGGGAAGAGAAAATAGGAGAGCTGTGTTGAGATTGATTTGTTCAGTTGTTAGGAAGGGAAAAGAATCTGTAAAGTGATTAAGATGATAGAGCTTTGATGAGACTTCACACTTAGATAAAAATAAGGAGTTAACAGTAGAAATTTCGGATTTCTTGAAGGGATTTGGACTGGACTTGAGAGATTTGCTAAGCTTGTGATGATTAAGCTGAAATTTGATCTTGTGTTGACTATGTGGTATGTGGATTCGAAAGCTCTAACTAGTGTGGTGTTTCTGATGACTAACTGACTGTTTCTTGTTTTCAAACCTCGACCCTGTACTCTATCTGATATTTGCTTGAGGGCAAGCAAAAGCTAAGTCTGGGGAAGTTGATATATCATGGTTTTTATGGTTTTTAACCATGATATAAGTCCTTTTTATTGAGTCTTTTTGGTTTTTTTAGAGTCCTAGAAAAGTCTTTGCAGGTTAAAGCATGTCTGGAGCATAATTGGAGATATTGGAACCTTTTGGAGCATTCTGAGTTGAAGCCACGAAGTACCAAGCTCGAAGCAGAAAAGTATCCCATATGGTGACGATCGTCACCCCATTGGTGACGCTCGTCACCCAGATAGGAAGGAGCGTGGCTATTTGTTAAAAGTATCAAGAAGAATTGCAGAACTTACCCAGAAGTTTCCTTTATTTATATGAAGACCCCAGATCGTGTTTAGCCCCTATTTATTAGGTTTTTCAGCCATTGTTGGCAAGAATCTTAGTTTTTGAGAATTCAGAGAGTTAGAGAGAGATTTTATTCAGAGCTTTTTGGGGAGACAAATCCTGTACTCTTTAGAGAAGATTTTGAACCCCCATTGTTTTCTACTCTTTCTCTTAATGCAATTTTATTCAGTTATGTTTTGTGATCTCATAATCATGTCTGAGTAATCTGCTAGTTAAGTTAGGGTTTTTCAAAGGTTGATGAAAAGAGTGTAGTATCGCTATCTGTTAGGAATATCTCATGGTTTTTCATCTCTACTTGCTTTAAAATCGAATTTCTGAGAAACATCATCTAGGAATCCGAAAATCATAGGTTGTTAAATATATGTGAGAGCATTATTCATAACCTGAACTAGTATTTGATGAGCAAAACAACTTAGTACAAAGAGATTTGGCTTAGGAGTTTTGTAAACAATTGAACCTGATCATTACTGCATGCTTAGGTTGTTAGGATTTGCAAAGAGATTTGAAACTCTGTGATCTAGGTATAGATAACTTCTGCAATGAGAATTGATTAGTTATGCATTAGAGATTCATGTTTAAAACGGTTCTTAATCATTCCTGATACCCTGCATTCTACATTCTTGGATTCATACCTGCGAATTACCCTAGCTTAGCGCTTTTAGTCTTCCTGAACTTAGACCATATCATACCATCGTTTGCTTATTTCTAATTATTCATTCACATTACATACATCATATTTTGCTTAGCTTAGTCCAAATCTATAATTGATAGTGTAGTTAGCATTACTCTCTTGGGATTTCGATACCCCTTATACTACACCTGCTTTTCTGTGCACTTGCAGTAGTTTTTATTTGGGTAAAACCTGAACCCTATCACACCTCGATGCAGAAGAATGGAGTCCATATCGAGCAGTTTATCGACGTCTCAAACCGATACACATGACAGCACAATACTGAGGTGTCATATCGACTTGCTTGATCGATGAGCCTTAACTAAAGGGCGACTGTATCGACTTCACACCCTGGAAAACCGATACAATTTGGAAGCCTTCTGTATCGACGTGCATAGCGACCAGAAGACATCGATACAACCCAGAAGAAGAGATGATATCGACATGTGTATCGATGTTCATAGCCGATATGGTCTGTCCGAGTCAGCTTATTTTCGGTTTAATCTTGGTTTACTAGGGGTTTTCTAGTTCTCCTATAAATACTAAAGTCCTATAATGGTTAGGCAATTTGGATCTTAATATTTTCCTTCTGTTCTTACACTAAAAAATTTACCTTTTTCAGCTCTGCTTTGTAAGAACTAGTTTGGTTTAGTAAATTTCTGCATTTGCCTTTGATTTGTTCTTGTTTATTCTGCTTCCTAATCTTGTTTAACCAGATTTTCTCTTTGGAATTTGTGATTTTGACTATGGCTAGTGAGTAGTCTTATTTAGGGTTTGAGATGAGATAGATTAGAGGGATTTTAGGACTAGATTAGTGATGTCTTGTGCTTAATATGATTGTCTTCTCTCCATTAGATGTGCTTATGATAGGGCTCAGGTTTTACCCAAATAAAACTACTGCAAGTGCACAGCAAAGCAGTTATAGTACAAGGAGTTATCGAATTCCAAGGGAGTATGTAAACTATCAGATTAAGCTAAGCAATAAGTAATGAATGTAATATGAAACAGTAAAATAAATGCAAGTGGGCGTTTTATGCTTGTTCTTAAAGTTTAGAAAGCTAAAAGCGCTAAGTCAGGACAATTCGCAGGTTGAATCCGAGAGTGTAGAATGCATGCAAACAGGAATGAATTAAAACTATCTTGAAATGAATCGCAAAGATATAAATAATCAATTGTTATTCCAGAAGTTAACTATGCCTAAATCACATAGTTTCAAATCTCTTTGCAAACTCTAACAACCTAAACATGCAGTAATGATCAGGTTCAATTGTTCACAAAACTTCTAAGCCAAATCTCTTTGCACTAAGTTGTTTTGCTCATCTAATACTAGTTCAGGTAATTAATAATGCTCTCACATCTATCAAACAACCTAGGGTTTCGAAATCCAGATGATGTGTCTAAGAAATCGATATGAATGCAAGCACAGATGAAGAACCAATGAATTTCCTATAAGTTTAGCAATTCTACAAACTCTTCAACCTTTTAAAATCCCTAACTTAACTAACAAACTACTCAGACATGGTTATTTGAGAAAACATCATGAAAAGAATAGATTGCATAAAAGAAATAAGAAGTAAAGATAAAGGAGTTCGAAATCTGCTCTGAAGGAGTCTGATTTGTCTCTCCAAAATCTCTGCTACAAATCTCTCTCTAAAGCTCTCAAAAAAGAATAAGATACAAGATATCTGCCAAAAGAATGGCTGAAAAACCTAATATACAAGGTAAAACACGATTTGGGGCCTTTTTACAAATACTAAAACTTCTGGGCCAAAACTGCAAATAATGCTCCTTCTTTTATGAAACCAGCCACGACCCTTCCTCTAGGGGAGACGAGCGTCAATAGCTTGATGACGAGCGTCGCCCAAGCCAGAATAACACTTCTGAGTTATACACTTCGGGGCTGTAACTTCCAATGCTCCAAAAAGCTCCAAAACTTCCAATTATGCTCCATATATGCTTTAACCTGCAAAGACTCTACTAGAACTCTAAAAAGACCAAAAGGACTTATACCATGGTTAAAAACCATAAAAACCATGAAATATCAGCTTAACACTAGATTAGTCTTAGTCAGGCTTATTTAGTATCTTGGCTTTCTCTTGCGCTTGGTAAGTGTTTGATGAAATGCTGCTTAGAGTCTCTTAGAGAATTTGTATGCTTAGCCTAAGGGATTAGATGTCTAAGGTGCATTTTGGCTTTATAGGATTGGAGTTCTGTTCTGAATGCTTTCTGATCATGTGTTTGAGTAAAGGGGTTTATCTTGAATGTGTGCTTAGCAAAGTGTTTAGTGTCAAGGAATTGAGCTAGTTATAGTTGTTAATCCTATGCCTACAAGATAGCATTGTTAGAATTGTTTTAAAGCATCACTAGTTAGGTTCTAATCCCCTCTTAATCAATAACCCCCATCTTAGATCCTTACTTCATCTATTTGAATTTTCTGCTTTGCTTAGTTCAGTCTTTAGACTTGTTTAGTTTGACCACAACTGCTTTCTTGAATCTAGTTTGACTTAAATGATTTGTTGTATTCTTGGTGCCTTAAGAACTCATATGGATTGATACCTTACATTCTGCAAAGACATGAGTGTGTTAGGATTTGATTAGTAGTTATAATCCTGCTATCAGCAACCCACTGGTGAGTTCTCTAGTTTTCATACTTTATTTTATTTTCGTTTTCTAACATAAAAAAGAGAAGTAGAGCGGAATTATTTGAGCAGACCCGAGTTCACCACCTGGTGACGATCGTCACCAGTACTGGGTGACGCTCGTTACCCCATCCTTCGCGAGGTACCACTTTTATCTCTGCTCATTGCGTTATGTTTCTTCTATTTTGACAAAATCTAGACTTAATAACACTGAGGACAGTGTTGTTTAAGTCTAATGGGTGTGATGACTGACGTTGTGTGCATTGTATTTGATTTTGAAAGTCTTAAAGTTGAGTCAAAACCCTGTTTTATTGAGTCAAAATTTTGAAACTGTCAGTTTTTCTTGGAACTAAACACAAAACATTGATGCTTATAAGAACCATTGCCACAGTAGTTGATTACAAGTCTTACTAAGTTGAAAGTCATAGGTAGATCAGTCTAGTAATGAAAGTTTGTGTTCTTAGAGAATCTGAAAAATTTGCTGTTAGCTCCACCTTAATGAACTTTAAACTTCTTATCTTGGGGATTGATTCTCATTGATATTGATTCTCTCTTTCAACACTGACAAGGATGTTTAGATACAGTCTCTCTTTGATCTTTTCTGATACAGCTTGTAGAGTTTAAGTCTAATGAATGGTGTGCATCATGACACTGTCTCCTTACAAAAAACAACAGTAGTTAACACTCAAGAACCTGTCTCCTCACAAGGAACACAAGTATTCAGTAGCACTATATCTTAGACCGTAAAAAAAAATGAGAAAAGAAGTTGAAAAAAATAGAAATAATCAGAAAAATATATCAAGGGAGGAGAAAATATCAAAACCCAAATATGATGTCTTATTCACATGTGAAAGATATTCAGTTTTTGAAATTTTAGGTTGTAAGAGAAGTTTTGTTTACCTTGGTTTTACGTTCTTCTCCTTTGAACAGAAAACGAACAGAAGGATTTGTGTGATATTTGCCTTCTAAATCTTCAGCCTCGTGAACAATCACCACAAGCAAACCACCATTAGAAGGTGTGCCTTCTGGTGCCTTCTCAACGACATTTGGATCATCAACATTGTCTGGAATGTCATCTTCTTTAAAAGGTTTATATTCGACTTCCACAACGAGCTGTCCACGAGATTTCTCGCTAACTGGCTCGTTTGGTTCCATGGATTTCACGAGCTCAAGCGTCATGAGTTTTGGTTCCTCTGGTGTTAGGTCTTTGATTGGAATCACATTCATTCCTATCTTATCATGTTTACCAACCTGAAAATATGTTCAACAAGAAAAATGATCGTTAAAGATTCAGTAACAAGCTAATTCACAGAGAGTTGTGTTTGGTTACCTGTTCCCAATCATAGGCAATGAGCTGCAAGTCTTGGCTCTCTGGATCTTTGACAACCAAATCGAATTCTTCGTTCCACTCAGGATTTAGATTGATGTGTTTAACACCTGTCTTCTTACCAGGAACTTTGTCTCCAGAGAGTGTTAGTTTCACATAAGGGTCTGATCCACCGAGAAGATCTTTCTTTTTGAGGTTTATTGCCTTAATGACCTTCATACTAAGCAATCCAAAAGGATTCTTCATTGCTCTGCATGCGTTGAGATTGCTTTGTTTAGTGTTTAGGAAGGGAAAGGAATTTGTAAGTGATTAAGTTGATAAAACCTTGATGAAATATCACACTTAGATAAATATATGGAGTTCACAGTAGAAATTTTGGATTTCTTGAAGGGGCTTGAACTGGATTTGAGAGATTTGCTAAGCTTGTGATGATTAGACTGAAACTTGATCTTGTGTTGGCTCTGTGGTATGTGGATTCGTAAGTGTTGATCAATGTGGTGTTCCGGATGTTTAGCTGACTTTTTCTGTTTTCAAACCTCGATCCTGTTCTCTGTCTGATGTTTGCTGCAAAAGCAAAGTCTGGGGGAGTTAATATATTATGGTTTTTATGGTTTTTAACCATGGTGTAAGTCCTTTTTATTGAGTCTTTTTGGTCTTTTTAGAGTCCTAGTAGAGTCAAGAACATGAGCACAATTAGAGACTCGGATGTGGAAGAAGACATTGAAGAGCAGCATCAAGAACAAGAGGTTCAGCATCAAGGATGAGAGGTGCTTGAACATGAGGATTATGACATAAGCCCTTATGCATTTGACCCTTATGATGTGATCTGCACATCTGAAGCCTCAAGAGCTGCTCATGAACACATAAGGCTCCTTCAAAGGTGGAATAACTTCCAGGACAAAGCGATCAGAGGCTTGCTGAAGTCTGTTAAAGCCAGCACAAAATCGGTTGAGTCTCTTAAGAAGAAGGTAAGGAAGATTAAGAAGAAGTTGGGTGGATTTTAATCACCCAAGAAGACTGACCAAGCGGTTCAAACAGAGCCACAAGGAGGAGGATCGGATGCGGATGACATGTCTGAGGATACACCAAAAACCACCGTCCATGAGAGACGCTCTTTCCACATCAGTGAGCGGCCAAGAGCTCATGTAGCTGCACCAACAAGATACTCCTCTTACAAAACAAAAATTAAAACAAATATTATCCCGTACATAGAACGGACTAAATCTTAGTATCTATACTAAATAAAAGGAACTACTTGAGACTCCTTAAGCTAACCACATCAGCAAAATAAGCTTCTTTACCATGATGCCACGTCAGATTCAAATCCCAACTAATAGAAATTAATTTATTTCATTCCACTAAACCACCTAATTTACAGAAAATTATAAATTAATCCAAATTCATTATTCCGCCAAACCTAAATTCTCACTAATAACCAAATCACGTTTTAAACCCAATAAATAATTAAATAAAAAAATAAAAAAGAATAACCATTTTTCCAATTTTTCTATCGCCGTAACAGTGGCGAGTACAATTCCTCCCTCTCAAAGAAACTTATTCGACCCCTATCAGTTACAAGCTCAACAGCATTCCATAAATCATCTGCATTAACACAATTTAACACAATTTATTGGCAACTACGTTCAAAGATTGGTATAAATTATCGACTCTCACAACTCCAGTTACTCCACCATCTCACCATCTCCCTCGCCAACAGAACATTTCAACACTAAACCCATTGTCTCCCACAAAGCTATGATCTCTTCAGTTTCAAGCTCCATGTTATCTATTCTCAAAAAATAAGCAACATCAGCTCAATCAGGTAGCCATGTGATGTGAGTTTATCTCTCTTCTAACACGTTTGCATATTGTAGTATCCTTCTCATATTGACTATTAATGTTGGTCCCTCTTCCTCCATGCTCCTTATTGACAACGCTCCTTCTTCCTCTGTTGGTTTAAAGTCACAATTACAAAGTGTCTCTCAGATCTGAACAACTCTTTCAGCTAATGCTGTTGGTGAAGATGCTGGTGATGGCTTGGAATTTTTTTCGGCGATGAGGGTATTGAAGAAGAAACGATGAAAAAAGACTACATATTTGTCAGAAAATAAAAGTAGAAGGCTGAAGGCTTCAGAAGATTAAGCTTGGGAGGCGTTCTGTTATCTTCGGTCTTGGGATCCTGCCGACTTGGCATACGATCAGGTTAGTTATTGACCTAGGTTTTGGATTCTCAACTTCTTTCAATGTATATGATAAGAGGTATGTATTAGGCTAATTTGGAGTTCTATGCTTCTTGGTTTTGTCAACAACATGTTAGATACGTCCGTATTATTTCGGTTCATAGTTTCTTATAATGAATAATCTCTGTTTCAAATTACTTTGCTCTGTGTTTGTTGTGTCATAGCCCCACGAAGACGAACACATACCCCGTGTTGCTCACTAAATGTTTGCAAATTTGATATTGGTACATAATTTCCTTATCCACATTTAAAAGATTTTTTACTGTTTGGATTTGCAAATGCCACTTTCCTCAGATGAGTTGATTTCTTTTTTCGAACAAGGAAGAAAGTACCGAGTGCACATTGTCACCTTGATTTCCATATAAATACTCGCACTTTATTTAGGCTCTTAATTGTTATAGTTGACCTGTTTGTTTCAACCAAAGGTATTTTCGGCCATATAATTTGTTTCTTGGTGTTTGTCACATGAATTTAGTGTTAAGTTACTTAGATAAAGTGGTAACTTTTTCACAATTTGATACTTGTCATCCAAGTAGGAAAACATTTTTATGTAGTGAAGTTGGTTACATGTCTTATCAATGCGTAATATATTCATGGACATATACAACTTTCAGTTCCTTCTTATTCTGAAAGGGGAAAAGAATTTGTACAAGAAGTTTGCAGTGTTAGATGGATTGTACAAAGGTCAAGCGAATACTGGGAGAAGGGGAGTCACTATCAATATGAGGTCAGAAAGTAGATGCCTATACCAATTAAATGGACTTACCAGGCGGAGAACGAGAGATTTACATGTGGAGGCACTTTGGAGTTATTTGTTACGGTGGAAGGCACTTATAGCTATTGGTGTACTTTGTTTGGCATGTCTTTGTTTCCCATTATTCTGAATGACCGAAATACCCTTACTAGTGTTGTTGACTTTTGCGGGTGTTACTCCGCCATCGGGTGAATTTCAGGTGTCACATCTTTTTGTTCGTGGGCATGAAATTGAATTGTTGGAACATGTTGCTAAGGGGTAGTACAAGTCGGAGAAGAAATATAAGCCTGTTTATTACAGCGCCGAAGAGTTTGAGTTGCGATTGACGTTGTTGTACTGGTGGATTTAGATCTGGGGCGGTTTCTGCAGAAAGCGACGAAGAATGGCGAGTGCGTATTTGCCGAGAGAGGTCACTTCATCCATTCCGTCGTTGTGGAGAAAATCGGGAGAGTTTGTATGCTGAACGTAGTGGATGGTTCTAGGTGGACGTGTTTCTGATGGTATGGGCTATTAGTTTGTAGTAGAAAGTGTATGTCCACGCAATTATGTCCATGTCCGTGGATGCAGTGGATGGATTGTTTGGCAGCAAAATCACTGACGCAGTGGCTATGGTACAGCTGTACACATTTGAATAAATTATGGGCCTATGGCGGGAGTTATTATGTGCAGAAAATAAGAAAATGTAAGCCGTTGATGTTAGGATAAGAGAGATTAGAATGTAATATCTTCCCTGTTAATTGAGAGGTTAAGGTTGTTCGGTGAGTAAAACTGAGTAAAACGTAAATAACCAAGGGATCTCCTGATTATTGAGTTAGCCGATCGGTGTAGTGTGGGGATGGAAGGGCACTGCTTGGTGATATCTGGTAAGTGGTTGTGTTCTGGGGACCGTAAGTGGGAGTTTGTGATAGATAAGAACTATATGTCAAGGGTGGTGGTCTTCCGAGAGGGTATGTCTATTGAGGAGCTGAAAGAGAATGTAGTGACGGAGTTCTTTGGGAACAGGGGTTTTGGGAGGAGTTTGGCTCTTAGTTACTGGCCTCCGAACAGTTCGGAGCTGGCTACCGGTATAACGACGCCTCCAGTAATGGTTAACAGCACAGCGGCAATAGTGTATTTCTGCAAACACTGCCGTGTGAAAGAGGGGCTTAATTTGTTTGTGCATTTTGGTACAGGGGCTCCGGAGGAGAAATGGCGTAGTAGTGTAGCTGGTGGAGAAGGGTACAGTACCCCCGGGGCTGACGGCTAAACGGAAAGGTTTGTTTGATGAACAAAGCACTCCTGCGAAAGATGGCGTTGGTGCCTCTGCCTATGGTGGGTATGGATCATCTGCTGGGTCAAAAATGTGTCCATTGGATGTGGATGATGAAGAGATTCTTAGTCATGTGGAGATGACGGAGGAGCGGCTGAGAAGGGCCCGTTCAGAGATGGAGGACGGTGACTGTACTACGCGGAAGTACGAATCTGAGTCCGACGAAAGCGGCAAAACTTTTGACGAGAACATAAACGTGCAACCGATGGGGTATGATAACGAATTCTGGGAGCCGCTACTCGAGGATCCAATTGGGGGGTCCAACACTGTTGAGTTTATGTGTCCCCCAGCGGCTGGGAATGGAGGGGTAGCAGCAGGACGGCCGGACGTGATTTTCTGTTCAACTGGGAGCGCGTTTGACCACGGTGTCTTAACCGGAGAAGGCCCCTTCGATGAGGCGGCTTGGAAAACTGAGGGGGGCGTAGATGGGGGAAGCAGTACCGATAGTTTTGGTGGGCTATCTATGGATGGTTGCTCAGTGGACAGCAACAAGCGGGCGCGAGGGGATGGTCAGTTTTTGAACGGATGTTCAGTGGACAAGTATAATATTGGGGGGAATGATGGAGGAGTTTGAGAAGGCCATACTCATGGGTGGTGGAGCGGGGTAGGTGAGGGTTGTAGTGGCGTGGGAGTGGAGAGTGGGGTAGGCGTCGTTTCCAATGGTGTGCCGAGTAGTTTTCGTAGGCGAGTCGGTGGTGGACGTGAGAAGACGGATGGTCCAGAAAGTCGATCGTATGATGCAGATTTCCATGGACAAAGGAGTGTGGATGAGAAAAGAAATCTCGAACAGATTGATGACGAGGAGTTCGACATTCTGCCAATGTTCGACGACACTAAATACGAATGCACCGACATACCTGACCTCGACTTGGACGAAGATGGGGACGGGGTGTTCGAGGGGAAGGTGTAGGCTAGCAAACAGGTCTGCCAAAAGCACTTGCTATATACGCTATAAAGCATGTAACTAATTACCGACAGACGACCACAAAGAGACATTACTTTGTCATGAGATGCACTGATGATAAGTACGACTGGCATGTGATGGCTCGTGAGTTCAAAGACTGCGGCTATTACGAGATCAAGAAAGCACAGCTTAGCCACACTTGTGACATAGACACAAGGAATGCTGTTAAGAAGAAGGTGTCTTCGAGAGTAATAGCGGCGGTTTTCAAGGCGAGATATGGCGACCCAGAGAAAGGGCCTAAAGCGGTAGAGTTGCATAGGTTGGTTCTTGAGGATCTACGTGTGTCTGCTTCGTATATGAAATGTTATAGGGCAATGGGGAAAGCTGTTGATGATGTTAGAGGATCGGACGAGGACTCGTACGCAGGATTGGCAGTTTATTTGCACATGTTGAAGCTCGCAAATCCCGGTACCGTAGCTGATTTGGAGACAGAAACGGATGATGTTTGTGTGAGCCGGTTCCGATATGTATTCCTCTTGTATGGAGCTTCCATATCTGGGTTGCGTAGGCTGAAGTATCTAGTTGTGCTGGACGGGACGCATCTAACTGGGAAGTTCAAGGGGGTGTTGCTTACTGCTAGTGGTCAAGACGCAAACTTCTAGGTTTTCCCCCTTGCGTATGCGGTAGTTGACAGTGAGAATGAAGAAGCATGGACATGGTTTCTGCGGAAACTGGAGCGTATATTAGCGGACAGCACATCACTGACCATCATATCGGATAGGGCTGCTTCTATCTATGCAGCTAAGAGGAGTGTGTACCCGAAGGCACATCACGGTGCGTGCATTGTCCACCTGGCTCGAAACGTTAACTCTAGGTACAAGAATAAAGGACTTGCAAAGATGGTCGTGAGTGCAGCCTTTGCCTTCCGTGTTGGAGGATTTAGAGAGGTGTTCGGTAAGATAAGGGCGACAAATGGTCAGTGTGCTAAGTACCTGGAGACAATTGGTATAGCTCATTGGACGAGGGCCTATTTCTCAGGTGAGAAGTACAATATTATGACTAGCAATGCAGCTGAGCAGCTGAACAATGCTTTGAGGGAGGGTAGGGGGTCGCAGGTAGTGGAGCTGTTGAAGTTCATTCAGGGGATGATGACGAGATGGTTTAGTGCAAGGAGGAAGAAGTCATTGAATCATCGGGGTGGTGTGCCGCTAGAGGTGGACAAGGTGATGACAGAGAGCCTGCTAAACACTAAAGGTAGTAAGGTAAACGTTATCACGAATTGGAGCTGTGAGGTTGTAGGGCAATTTGGCAAGAAACATATAGTTTACCTTCAGGTTAAGAAGTGCACATGTCGGGTGTATGACAAGTTAAAGATGCCGTGTGGTCACGCTTTAATGACCGTTGATATGTTCGGGTTGCCTTATAAAACGCTTGTTGGTGATGTGTTCAAATCCAGTACATGGGCGGAGACGTATATAGGTGTGATATCCCCCGCTGAGGAGGCGGGTGATTACGATATACCTGTTGAAGTAAGTTTACTTGTTCTCGCCCCACCGGATACGAGGAGGAAAGCTGGTAGGAGGAAGGAGTCGCGGTATCAATCAGTTGGAGAAATACCGGTTAGTATGGCATGTTTATAAGTTGGAGATGTTCCGATTAGTTGGTAATTGATAAGCAAATATGGATTCCTGATATTGTGTGTTCGTGCAGGTAACTAGGGTTAAGAAAGAGACACCTAACAAGTGCGGGAGATGTGGACAGCCCGGTCACAACAGGACTAGTTGTTCACAACCGAAATGAAAGTTGGTGGGTTGCGTATCCACGGATGTTTGTGACTTATGGATACGTGGTCGACCATGTTGATTTACCTATTTTGTGAGGCTGTCGTGGATCAGTTTTTGGATAAGCTCTCAATTGTGACATGGTTGTGTGGTTGTGTGTTTTTTTTGGAATATCACCGAGTACTGTAATAGCTAAGGCACATGTATTTTAAGTCCAGACTGTACGTTGATGTAAGGTGGTTTTTCTATAGAAACGAATGTTTAAGCGTTTCAATATGGAAAGGTAGGTGCCTTTGTCGAAGCTGGATCGTTGTTCAGAGAGTCGATGTACGATGGACGGTGACACTGAACTTAAAGTTTGTGGATAGTGGAATAGATAATAAAAGAATTTGTAGTAGTGGATGAGGTATAAATTTTGGAATGCTGGGGCGGCGTCAGAGACACACATTTTGGGCTGCGTGAATAGTATTGGTTGTTGGCCCAATGTGTAGTGGACCGATGTATGTGGACATTCCTCCCATTTTTAACATGTTTATCTATAATCGGTGGGCCAATGTGTTACTTAGTTTGCCCTAATCCAAAGCAAGTGTTGGAGGGTCGTATAGAAATGCTTTAATAGGGGTTTGGCGGTGGGCAGCTAATCCAAGTTTACGCAGTCGGGAATATCGATCTGAAACAGAGAAAAATGGCATCTGCTGCGCGTAGTTCGGGATCGGGAGCGAGTTTTTCAAGTAGAAACCAGAGCCAGGTAGCGGGGCCTTTGTGCTACTGTAACTGTGTGACGGTGTTGACGAAGTCTTGGACAGATGACAATCCTGGGAGGATGTATTATTCTTGTGAGAGACATGGTTTCAACTGCTGGGCGGATGAGGAAAAGCCACATGGCTGGCAGAAGCAGAGTTTGTTGGAGGCAAGAGAACAGATACAGAGACAATTTATTGAGATTAAACAGCTGAAAGCGTCCGTTCGCGTTTTAACCAAGCAACTTCTACGTGGGGCTCAGGCGGACGGCAACGAGGAAGCAGTGGATGCAGCGAATATGGATGATGTGGTTTTGAAGAGTATAAATGAAGCTAGGAAAGCATGTAAGGAGAAGGAGGATCTCCTAAAACATTTAGTTTGGGTGTCGTGGGGTGGGTTTGTAGTTATCTTAGCAATGATAATGGTTTATGGGCAGAAGTAGATTGTGGGTGGTTTATGATGTATGATAGTTTTAAGTGGTTGAGGGTGTATAATATGTAAGGGTGGACGGCTGCCGGTGGTTGGTTTTTGAAAATCGGAAGGGTGGATGATATAGTCAGTTGAGGTTGAAGTGGGTTGAACTGCAGTTGTGTGTCTTGGGCATAGAATGTTTTTTTGTAAATGTATGGCAGTCGACAATTTAGAGGATTGATCCGACTATGTAATATTCGATAAATGTTGGTTGATGTAATAGTGTTTGGTGTGTAAGAAACTGAGATTTGTTTGGCTTATCCACTATGCAGTATCGAGTACGAGATATCGAACATACTATGTCCACAATACATAACCACAATGCATAATCCATAAAAGGCGTTATCCAGAATGCGTGGTTTGTAATTAGGTATCCACCACTACATTGAGCAGAGTCTGTGAATGTTTGACAGAAGTGGTGGATATATGTTGATGGATAAATGAAGAATGGACGCTTATGCATAGACCCGTGTACATGGACTGATAGTAATTGATGCATATTAATGGACGAATAATGTATGGTTGCGTAGACATAGAAGCATATTGATGGACGCCTTTGCATCTTTGCGTATTCGTGGACGCATTATCGTGGACGCATGTGTTGAATTCTTACCTCGGGATCCCACTCCGCGTCTAGCGTTGACCTGTAAATAGAGTGTATCCATCGTTTGACTAAATTGAGACGAAGTCCCCACAATGGATATGAAGAAGAACGTGTAGAGAAGAGGAGGGAAAGTCAAAGAGAATGTTATATTACAATAGTGGCGAATATGTTTAGAAAACATAGATGGCCGATAGTTATGATATCTGGGGAGCTATAATCAGCATCTACCCTACCTAGTGTTAACGTACCCAAAAAAATTGATCGTAGTTCTTAAGCATACAGCGAGAAGTTATGGAGATATGCATCGAATGACACACAACAAAAAAAGTGAGGTTGGGTTAAAGAGGTGGAGAAATATCTACTGCGGAGGCGGGAAGTAAAGCAGGATAACCATGTCTCTGTATACCTCCATAGCCCATTGCTTTCAGAAGTGATCACCAAGTCATCGGTGAGGGAACCCATGTGCTGGTCCGATATGTTGTACAAGTGCATCTCCATAAATTTGACAGCTACGGGGCCGCAATCTCCGCCTCGGAGGTTCACGTACAGGCCAGATGGACGTTCCCACTTGAAAGGTATTAAGTTTGATCGTTGTGATGGCTGGAGTGGGCAGAGCTTGATGATAATGTGCGGAAGCATCTTTGCGATCGGGCCAATAAGCGCATCCAGGTCGCTATCGCCTATGAGACTCGAGTTTGAGTCGAATACCTGGATGAGTTTCGTTTGCAGATGTATGGCCAACCCGACCCAGTGCCTGTTTTGAAGATTCATTGGGGCGTAGACAGTCTAGACTTCTTGCAGCCACGTCCTCCCAGGAGCTAGCACAAATTTCCGAAGTTGGTCGTCCCAGCGATGGAGGTTCTTGTTAATGGCTTTTTTTGAAACTTCGTGACTTGGCTTCGAGATGGTTGAGTAGCCAGGGGGATGCAAAGTCCGCATTCTCTTGTTGGAGGATGTCATGGTGCTTGTTTCCGATGATCCACATAAGGACCTCCATATGCTGAGACAAGTTATGAAGATGGGGTTAATGGTCATTTTCCATCCACATCAAGTTGAAATGAGGAAGGGGTTTTGGGTGCTTGATCCGTGTACCTTAGTGTCCACCCATCCTCGGCTTTTTGCTAGAGCAAGGAAGAAGTTGTTGTCAAAGTCAAACTTTGAGTCAGTATTGTGCTGGCTGCAATGACGAAAATGAATGTTAGCCGTCTACGTATGGGCATTACGAAGTTATGGAAATGAATCGCATAGAGCGTACAGTGTGGGGTTCTCGGTAAGAGTTTTGTAAAAAAGCGTCCACGAGGGCTTGTCCACTTGTGCCAGAAGCAGTGGAGGCGGGCGAAGCGGCTGCTGCTGGAACATCGAAGCAAGCTCTACCTCAAGCGGAGAGGGGGTGTGGGTTCTAGGTTGTGGTGGTGGTGAAGAGTCGCTGAGGCTTTCGATGTCGGCTGGAGTATGGTCGACGGACGTGTTGTGATCATACTGTTCCGTTGGGAGCGACTCCTGATTGGGCAGTAGAGATTGTCTTGGAGGCGTTTGAAGATGATGTATCATGATTGAGTGAGTGAATCATGAACAATAAATGTCGGATCGGGGGACAAGTGGAAAAGAAAAACCTGAAGTATAGAGGATTCTCCGTCGAAGGCCGAATCAGATGTCGCCTTTGTTGGAGAGTATGATGTGCTTAAAGGCTGATGAACTTGTGCGGGTACCTGTCGACGAACGCGGAGTTCAATATTGTGATAAGGCATCAAAAGTGAGTAATACAGAAAAAAGCAATAGAACTGAAAACTTTACCGATGTTGTCCGATCGTCCAGGAGTGTATGTTCGTTATGAGCGGGCTTTACAGCCACAACTGCAGTGATAGTGGGCGAGGAACCGGTGACGGAAAGAGTTTCCCCCGGACCGGATGGCTGCGTTAAGTTGGTAGATAAGCGGAGTAGTCGTATTAGGGGTTGAGTAGGAGAAGAGAATAAACACATACCCTCTGTCAAAAGTGGAATCTTCGTCCCCGATAGTGGATCCATGTGGTCCAACTGTTTCTGCGGACACGTTTGGGATGGCCCCCTTAGATCCGACCGCCGATTGATGTTCACCTTGTACTGATGTTGGCGGTGACACGCCCTTGGATTGCGGCTGGTTTTGGTCGACCATAGGAATATGACCACGACCTGAAAATTCGAGGACTACTGATACAGTGCTATCCACTTGTGGTTGGTCGATGATGGCAGAAGCATCGCGGACATGTAAAGATGGGTGGACTTGATTGCCGACCATAGCCTGTTGCCCACCATGTGTCGGATCGTTGGCAACTGCTTCGAGCACCTGAATGAGAGGCTGCAGACGGGTTTAGTTAGTGGGTGTGCGTGTGACTCATAGACATAAGGGGGGGGTCTGTACTAACCTGGGGGATTGGTTCCTCTTGCCGAACCTCTGCTACGATCTTTGAGATGAGCTCCTCAGTTTGCTCAGCAGAGACCTACAAAAGAAAGATGTTATGCCCATTGCCGACTGAACTACGAATAGGAGCATGTGGTGACTGTCATACCTCGGGGTGGTGCTCCATGGAACCCTCTTGGTTTAGCTGTGGCGGCTGCAGGATATCAGGAAAATGGTCATTAGGAGGGTGGTGGTGACGAAGAACTGCACCATTATTCCTATAAAGGTGAACTTACAAATGAGGTTGAGTCCAGCCGTTCCTGTCCATCTCCGTGAGAGTCTTCGTGTTGAGTCTGATGAAATTATCAGAGTTTACTGAGTTCGGAGTCTAAGGATGTGTGACAATTGAAATTTTAGTACGCAATGTTTTTTGGAAACTAACCTGCTGGATGGGAGTATTGTTTCTGGTTCAGACTGCGCGCATGGATCATCTTGCATCCAACTAGAAGATGTTCCTACTGCGTCTTTTAGGTAATGATCCTTAGGGGATGTGATGGTGACATGATTGGCGTGTTGATTGTTTGATAAAGAAGGCCTTTTGTTAGCCTGCGACGTTTGGCCATGCTGCTTTGGGTTGAGAATTTTCCAAAAGAGTAAGCCCTTTTTCCCGATTTTCTTTGCCATGCGAGAAGTTAGGTCTGCCAGGTGCTTGAATTGTTCGCTGAACAGGTGCACCTGCGACGTCAGCCAGGTGGTAATGTCGTCGCTGTTGGTGGTAGGCGCTGCTTTGGGTGACTGGCGGAGCCGATGAGAACTGCGACGAGAT